TTTTTGAATTCAATTTAAATTTGAAAAAGTTTAAACTTTCAATGGATATTTATAACTTCTTATTAAAGTTTCCATCTTTCTCTCTGTTTTCTGAAAATTAATTGGCTTTGAATTTGTTACAATGTGGAAAGCTTTTGTTTTTTTTTTTTTCCTTCACATGGGTTTTTTTTGCTTATGGTCTACAAAATCTATTAAAATTTTGTTTTTTTTATTCAAAACAATAAATGATTCATTGAATGCTCTGTTTTGTTGTGTAGATGTGGCCTGGTCTTATACAGAAAGCCAAAGAAGGAGGCTTGGATGTTATAGAGACTTATGTGTTTTGGAATGGCCATGAACCTTCTCCTGGAAATGTAATTAAATTACAAAAATGAAAAATCTAAATTTATGTATTTTTTACCTTGTTTTCTCTCATCTCTTCTAATTTTTCTTTTATTATTTTTTTGCCAGTATTATTTTGGAGACAGGTATGATTTGGTTAAGTTTATCAAGTTGGTGCACCAAGCTGGTCTATATGTTAACCTCAGGATTGGCCCTTATGTCTGTGCTGAATGGAACTTTGGGTAAATATAACAAAATCACTAAGTTTACTTTTTAAAAATTAAAATAATGGTTAGCAACATTCATTTATCATTTTTAATATGGTTTTGTAGGGGATTTCCGGTTTGGCTCAAATTTGTTCCTGGTATATCTTTTAGGACGGATAATGAACCATTCAAGGTTTTAACTCTAAACAAAATTTTCCTCTATTATAATCTTTTATCTTCTTAATTATCTATTGATTAATAATAATTCTATGTGATACTGAAAAGGCTGCAATGAAGAAGTTTACTGAAAAGATTGTATGGATGATGAAAGCAGAAAAGTTGTTTCAAACACAAGGAGGACCAATCATTCTTGCACAGGTTTGTTGTTGTTTACATATATTGTTGTTTGTTACATTAAATATCATTAACCAATGATTAGACAGATAGGGCCCAAATTAAAAGTTTTATTTTTCTTAATATGTAAAAAATGATACAAAAATTGGACAGATTGAGAATGAGTATGGACCAATGGAATGGAAATCAGGAGAACCAGCAAAAGCTTATACAAAATGGGCTGCTCAAATGGCATTAGGTCTCTCCACAGGTGTTCCATGGATTATGTGCAAGCAAGAAGATGCTCCTTCTCCTATTGTAAGTTTTTTTTTTCATTATTTTTAATTATAATATAAGGCTACATTAAAAAAAATGGGCCATTTGCCTTATATCTAATGGCCATGGTTTAGCCACATAGGACAAATTTTGTTAGTTTCTAAATTTTGTTTTTTTAGTTATTTCACAAATTAACCCTAAAAAGATTTGGTTTTATTTTTGGGTGAATTTGTTAACTAAGCAAAAAAAATATATAATTAAATTCTAATGAAAAGTGACATATGTGGCCAAATTTGTAACCATTGGATCTAATGGAATTGGTTAGATGATTAATTATAATTTTTTTTGTAGTTATTACATGCAATTTCCCTTTATTTTTTCACTTTAACTAGCTTAAAATATTTACCAAAATTTGGATCAGTTATGTCTAGATTGGTTAGAATTTTACTTACTTTAATTTACACTGATGAAATTTTGTTTTTATGCAACCTATATAGATAGACACATGCAATGGTTATTACTGTGAGGATTTCAAACCAAACTCAAGCAACAAGCCGAAGATGTGGACAGAGAATTGGACTGGTTGGTAAGTCACACCATCAATATGCCTCCACAAATTAAATTATATTATTATTTTTCAGTACAAATAAAAATTATAGATTGTGAGTGAGAGGACAATTTTATTAACTTTAAAAAACATGTAAATTTTAATCTCAGGTATACGGAATTTGGAGGTGCTGTACCATACAGACCAGTCGAAGACATTGCATACTCTGTTGCACGATTCATACTAAAGGGTGGTTCCTTCGTCAATTACTATATGGTAAACAAAATAAAACAGAGTTACACATACAACTAGTGCGCACATCTATATTTGGCTCAATTTGTGTGTTTATATATCTGTTAATCTATAGTACCATGGAGGGACGAATTTCGACAGAACCGCTGGTGAATTCATGGCTTCAAGCTATGACTACGATGCTCCTCTCGACGAATACGGTAATAACCAAACTCAAAAACACAAGAAAAATGTGTGTGAATGATTTAACTAATCTGATTCAATTTACAAAAGGCTTACCAAGAGAACCAAAGTATAGTCACTTGAAAGCATTGCATAAGGTCATCAAGCTCAGCGAGCCAGCTTTGGTTTCTGCTGATGCAACCGTTACTTGGCTTGGAGCTAAACAAGAAGTAAAGATCAAAGCTTTTTCAACTAATGTTTATGTTAAATTGAGAAAGAAAACCTCCTGATTTATTGAATGTTTGCTTTCAGGCTCATGTGTTCTGGTCTAAATCCTCTTGTGCTGCGTTTCTATCGAACACCGATCAGAATTCTGCAGCGAGAGTTATGTTCCGTGGATTCCCATATGATTTACCTCCTTGGTCCGTCAGTATATTACCTGATTGCAAAACAGAATATTACAACACTGCAAAGGTAAGAAAAACAAAACTTTTATTGTCACAAGAAAATAATCTACTTTCTTGATCTTTAGCTTGTATTGACTGACCTTTGTGTTTTGAATAAACAGGTTAATGCACCAGGGATACATAGGTATATGGTTCCTACTGGTACAAGATTATCTTGGGAATCATTCAGTGAAGCGAGTCCTTCCGCGAATGAAGCTGGTACCTTTGCAAGAAACGGGCTTGTTGAACAGATAAGCATGACTTGGGACAAGTCTGACTATTTCTGGTATCTAACAGAGTAAGTATAAAACCATTGAAACTCTCTTTGATTCTTCAAAATCCATCCTCGAGGAAAACAAACTCACGGTTTGTTTCTTTGTGGGTATGTTACTCAGCATTACAGTAGGTGCTGGTGAGAACTTTTTGAAGACTGGTGATTACCCTCTTCTTAACGCTTGGTCAGCTGGGCATGTTCTTCATGTGTTTGTCAATGGCCAGCTTTCAGGTAATACAAGAGAAACAATGGAAGCTTCTCTAGTCTTGTGTTGAAACTTGAAAACATTGTTGTCGCTGTTTCAGGAAGTGCTTATGGAGGACTTGACCACCCGAAAATAACCTTTAGCCAGAAGATCAAACTTCATGCAGGTGTCAACAAGCTTGCTTTGTTGAGCGTTGTAGTGGGTCTCCCGGTTAGTTCTTGATCGGATAATCTAGCTTCTTCGAAACAGTTTTCGTGCTCCAAGTTCTGAGATTTGTGGTCCTTGATTAACTTGCAGAACGTCGGTAAGCATTTTGAGACGTGGAATAAAGGGGTTCTTGGTGCGGTCACACTAAAGGGAGTTAACTCGGGTACATGGGACATGTCGAAATGGAAATGGTCCTACAAGGTCCTCCCTGAAACTCAAAACCAACTTTCATGTTTCGACTTTACACTTTAGGATAAACCAATCATAACAATGGATTTGATTTGAACAGATTGGTGTGAAGGGTGAAGGTTTGAGTCTACATACCGCGACAGACGCTGTGAGATGGAATCAAGGAGCATTAGTGGTCAAGAGGCAACCATTAACCTGGTACAAGGTATAAGGGAAAACACAAAAGGATCAATCATGTTGTCTTCTTAAACAACAAAAACCAATTCCTCTTTGTTGCAGTCTACTTTTGCTACACCAGCAGGAAATGAACCATTGGCTTTAGACATGAACACAATGGGGAAAGGTCAAGTTTGGATAAACGGTCGAAACATTGGACGTTATTGGCCTGGTTACAAAGCTCAAGGAAACTGCGGGCGTTGCAACTACGCAGGAGCTTTCAACGCGAAGAAATGTTTGAGTAACTGTGGCGAAGCTTCTCAAAGATGGTAAGAAAACAAAAAAAAACAGAAACCGTCTTCTCCATCTTCCTTTAGTCAAAATCTGATTCATAAGGTTCCTTTCTCTCTCTGTTTTTGTTTGCAGGTATCATGTGCCTCGTTCATGGCTAAATTCACAGAACCTTGTAGTTGTGTTTGAGGAATGGGGTGGTGATCCAAATGGAATCTCTCTGGTGAAAAGAATATGAAAATCTTCTTTCTGATTTTTCCGAGTTTCCTTCAGGACAGGAAGAAGAAAGATGTTTGGATTTGTTTTCGTCTCTGGTTCTGCTTTGAAGATAGAGACAGAGCTGGAAAAACAAAAAAATTGTGCAGTTATTATTACAACAGTTTTATACATGTATATTACTTTGGTCATCAATGGCTAAATCAAAAATTTTTACAGAATAATAATAATCTCAATGAAGGTTTCAATTTACCTTGCTTCTTGCATAACATCTCCATCTTCCAATCAAAAAGCGAAAATAAATTTTACAAAATCAAAATCCTAACACTCTGTTTCACTATTCAATCTTAGAATCAAAGACCTATAACAAAAAGAATCGATGAACGCTGTAAAATTAATTTCACAAAATCGCATAAAATGTCGGATCAGATTCGCCACTTTCCAAGAACCCTAACCATGGATTCAGATTCTTCAGTCGGCGAAGATGACATCGCAGGAATAAGGATATTTGTGGACTTTCCCTATTATTGGGCCTTAAAGTAAGCCCAATTAAATAAATCTATTTTTTTAATCAGGCCCAGTTATCGGATTCGTTTAAACTTTTTAGGATACACTTGTAAAATAAAGCATTCATATTAACTGTTCACGAATCACATGGGGAGTTAATAGTTTTGAAATTTACAAAATAGCCCCCTAAAATCCTAGAGTCCACTAATAATACCGCAATGTGACGGAAATTTACCAAAATGGTCACATGAAGCTATGTAGCTACTAAACCAACCTTAAGAAACC